CAGGTGCGGGGAAGGGGAGGCGGGGGGGGGGGAGGCGGAGGGAGGGCAGCGCCCATCCCCGCGGCCGCGGGGCGCCCCGTCCGACGCGATGCCGTTCGCCCCGACGCGGGGGATGCGGACCCGGGTGGCGGCGGAGCATCCCCGGGGCCGCGGCGTGAGCCCCCCGGGGGTCCGGAACGGCAGCTCCCGGAGCCTGCCCGGTGCTGGGCTCCGGTCCCGGGGTAGGGGGGGGTGCTGAGCCCCTTGGCAAGGGGTGTCCCGGGCCAGGGGTGTCCCTGCTGGGCTGTGCCCGGTCCCCCCCTGGGACGGTGCCACTGGCACCCCCGGGGAAGGGGCTCTGCCATGGGGCTTCTGGGCACCTCTGGGAGCTGCTGTGAGCCCCGGGCGAGTGATACCAGCCGGGCTCTGACACACTGGGAGCATCTCCTGGAGATGCCCCTCACCAGGATGGTGCCCGCTGGGTCTCCTGCCGTGGGCACAGCAGCCCCTGGGGCTTTCTTGCCGAGGGGGCAGAAGAAGGGGAGACTTTTCCACCCTCCCCAGCTCCCCAAGCTCTCCCGGGTGTTGCAGGGGCCCGTTGCAAGTGCCCTTTGTGACTCTGTCCCGAGCTCTGCTGTGTCAACACGCTGTTGGTAAATGGCTTTGTTTAACCAGGACATGTTGGGTATGTGACCTTGCCGCCCTCCTGGTTGCAAGCGCATCTCCAAAGCCCAGATCACCTCCTCCTGGCACTTCCCAGCCCCAGCAGCTCCAGTGGGGCAGCAAGGGGAGAGCAGGGCACACCAGTGCCAGCCCAGCTCCCCTCGAGCCGTGTCAACCAGACGGGCAAAGAACAGGGCATCTTCTGGGTGTTCATCCACCCAACGCCTCGCCATGCACCCTGTAATGCAACCCCCCCTCTGCCCCTCGCAGCATTTTGCCAGCGTGTGTTGTGGGTGTCCTTGACCCGTGCCAAGTTCAGTGGGCGCCCCCGTGCTTTTCCTGGGCTTTATCTGTGCATCAGCAGGAAAATTTAGGGCCTGCAGGAGACCCCTCCTCGGCGTGTTAGTGCCGCCCCAGCTGCCAGCTCCTGTCCTTCCCACCAATCCCTGGTCCCTTCCCGCACACTGCGGCGCAGGTTGTTTTTTTTTTTTTGAATGTTCTGTTGCCTGGAGAGGGGAAAAAAAGGGAAAAAAAAAAAAAAAAGGCTGAACGGAGAAGAGGCAAAATGTGGATTAAAAATAGTTAATGAAAAAATGTGACCGCAAGCCCTGATCAACAGAGCAGGGCTGAGCCCAGCCACCGAGCGCAGCGCTGCTCCGTGTACTTCACTGTGCCAGGCAGAGGGTCTGGGCAAAGTGGGTGCAGGGGAGATGGGATGGCAGCTCCACTCCATCTCTCCTTGCTCCTCCACTGCATCCTGCCCCATCCTGTGTCCCCCGTGGCCAGAGCCCCTCTCCTTGTGTGTCTGCCCCAGTTCAGGGGGTCTGGGGACCCTGGCTGTGAGCAGAGGCTGGGCACCGTTGCCACCCTGCAGGCACGGCTGGTGGCCAGCTGTGCCCAGGTGCCCCAGGCCAGGGTTGGGCTGCTGTGGGCAATGTCACTTGTACATCTGCCCCTCATTTGTGACACGAGCTGCTCCCGGTGCGGGCGGGCGTGCACACACGCCTGTCTGCACTGACCTTTTCACTGGGCTTTTCCCAGTCCTGCGCTTCCCCTGTGACACGCTAAGCACACGTGTCACGCCGTGTCTCTCCCGCGTTTCACGGGTTTTTCATGCGATGTGATGGACCCCGCGCCAGGACCGGGGTGTTGTGTGGCTCAGCATCCCCTCCCCACAGCTGGATCCACCACTGCCCGGCCGTGCCTGCAGACCACGCTCCCTCTCTGTTGTGGGGCAGCCAGAGGATGCCCTTGACTGTCCCTTTCAGTACTGTTTGGTACCAGGGCAGTCACAGAGGGGACACAAAGAGCCTTCATCCTGACGGCACGGGGGCGAGTGCCGTCCATTTGCGTCCTGCGTTGCTGTTGACGAAACCGCTGTCAGGGTCTGTTTAAGTTTTCTTGGTTCCAAAGTGACACAGAATCAGACATCACCCGGTGCCTGGTGACATCGGCTCGCTCCCTGGGCCCCTGCTCAGCCGTTCCACAGTCGTGCAGCTCCGTGCGAACGAGCTGCGGGTCCTTCGGCGCCAGGGCTGCTCCGGGCAGCTCAGCTGGTCCTCCCCTGCCCAAGTTCCTCGCCTTCGCTTCACAGGGGAGGGACTGGAGTGGTTGTGGGTCACGGGTGGGGAGCCGGAGGCACCCCCAATCTCGGGGCAGGGACAGCGCAGGGTGAGGGACAGACCTCCTGGCTCTCCCCACCGCAGCCGTTCGTCTCCCACCCGTTTGCCCTGGTCCTGGGTGGAAAGTGGAGCAGCATCTGCAGGGCCAGGCTGGCGCTGGCTCTGGCATTGCATCAGCTTTGGCCCTGCACCGTCCCCTCCCCTGCCAAGTGCCGA